GGGAATGTGCCCGCAACCCAGGTACACGCCCTTGACCGGAATCGAACCCGGGACCTTTCAGTACGCAGACCGACACTCTATCCACTGAGTCAAACCGTTTCGGCTGGAGGCTTCTTTGACCTCTTCTGTTCCTATCCCACTTCCACTCAGGAAATCACCTGACTCCTCCTTCAGAACATGCCAGAATCTGACCACTCCTCAACACCTCCACTTGCCCCCTCCTCCTAATGCAGTGGCCTCTGCATGGTCCTTCAGGTCCCACGTGATCTGCCCCCAGCATCCCTCCACCTCATATCCAAATGTCTGAGCTCCAAATAGCCAGAGTGGAGAAGGCTCGGTGGCCAGCCAGGAGTCAGCGAGGACCGCAGAGGGACCACGCCTTAGCAGTAGGACTGAACTGTGCCTGGAGCCAGGGTCCTCTGCAACCGTCCTAGCAAACCTTAAAACCGGTCTCAAAGGCACCAGACAGACGTGCGCGTCACTTAACTGCCTGCCCGACAGGGCCCACGCTCTTTAAGGAGAGAAACAAAGTCCAATCAACAATATAACAAAAAATGCAAACACGGATCTATGCAAAGGAATGAAGAAAAAACATCACTGACTACAGAAAGCAAAAAAGGGTAACAGTGTATTAAGAGTTTCCCCGTGGAAATAGAAGTGAAATGAATGACAAATAGCACAAAGAATGAGGTGGGAGAAGCAAAAGCACAGTTGTGAGATGCTGACACTGCTGAGAAGGGGTGTAATAATATGATTTAAAGACTGTGATAAGTTGATGATACATGTTGTGAAACCAAGAGCAACCTCAAAGAAATTCAATAAAGAAGCAAAGAGCATAAACCGAGAGTGGAGAAAAAATGGAATTAAAAAATGCTCTCTATGCAAAAGATGTAGGAAAAGATAGAAAAAATGTCAAGAAGGATTGAATGAGACAAGTAGAAAATGAGTATCAAGGTAGTAGATTTAAATCCAACCATATCCATAATCACATATAATGTGAATGGTTTAAAAATGCCACTTGAAAACTGAAATTGCCAGTATTGATAAAAGCTGCCTGTAAGAAATCCACTTCAAATATAAGGACACAGATATATTAAAAGTAATAAGATGGAAACGAATATAACCATGAGCATTGCGCATAAGAAAGCTGCAGTGGCTATATTAATAGGAGATAAAGAAGACTTTAAAGCAAAAAATAGTCCCAAGGATAAAGGGACGATTTCATATGGATAAAGAGGTAGATACATCAAGAAGACACAACAATCCTAAATAAGTACGTACCTAATAACAGAAATTGAAACGGTATGAAGCCAAAACTAAGAGAACTGAGAGAAGAAATAAATGTATCCACAATATAGTGGGTATTTCAATCTCATCTTTCATCAATCAGTAGAACAAGTAGACAAAAAAATAGTAAAGGTATAAGAACCTTGAACTACACTATCAACTAACTTGACCTAATTGACATTTCTAGATTATTCCACCCAAGAACAGCAGAATATACATTCTTTTCAGGAGTACCTGGAACAGTCACCAAGGTACACCATTTATCTCAATAAATTTAAAAAAGACTGAAGTTACACAGGGTTTACTTTGGATCAGAATAGAATTAATAGAAATCAACAGCAGAAAGATAGTTGGAAAATATCCAAGTATTTGAAAATTACATAATATACTCCTAAATAACACATGGACCAGAGAAGGAACCACAAGGTAAATTAGAAAATATTTTGAGCTGAATAAAATTGAAAACACAACAAACCAAAATGTATGAGATATAGCTAAAGTATGTGTAGAGGGAACTCCCTAGCTTTTAATCATTATAAAAAAGGAGAAAGATTTAAAATCAATGATCTAAGCTTCCACCTTTATTAGATAGAAAAAGAAGAGCAAATTAGACCTGGAGCTAAAGAGGAGAAATCAATGAAATAGGAGACAAACAGAGGAAGCCAATGAAACTCAAAGCTGGGTCTTTATAAAAAATCAATAAAACCTAGTATAAATCTCTAGTTGGATTGATTAACTAAAAAAGGGAGATGCTATAAATTACTAATATCTTGGATGAAACTGAGGATTTCGCTATCATCCTATGGACATAAAAAGGATCACAAGGACATATTTCAAACTACATCATGCCAATAAATTCTTAGAGGAAATGAACACCACCTCTTCAAATGAATTCCCAAATAAGTACAAACCCTTAATCTACTAATCTAGTTAAGAAATCAAACTAATGCCCTAACTGCTTTGGCTCAGTGGATAGATCGTCAGCCTGCGGACTCAAGGGTCCCAGGTTCGAGTCCAGTCAAGGGCATGTGCCTTGGTTGTGGGCACATCCCCAGTAGGGAGTGTGCAGGAGGCAGCTGATCGATGTTTCTCTCTCAACGATGTTTCTAACTCTCTATCCCTCTCCCTTCCTCTCTGTAAAAAAATCAATAAAATACATTAAAAAAATAAAAATTATAAAAAAAGAAAAGAAATCGAACTCATAATTTAAAACCTTCCCACAAGGAAACTCCAAGCACAGATGGATTCACTGAGGATTCTACAAGCACTTAAGATAGAAACAAGGCCGACTCTATACAAACCCTCCCAGAAAAATCACATCGAGGCCCCGGAAGCCTTCCTAACTCATTTTATGAGGTTAGATGAACATATAATAACAAAGCTAGGACCAATATCCCTCCTAAACTTCACAAAATATTTGCAAATTGAATGCAAAAAATATACCATGGCCAAATAGAGTTTGTACTAGGAATGCAAGATTAGTTTAACAATTTAGAATCAATCAGTAAAATTCGCCATGAACAGGACGGAGAAATAAAACATGAACCTCTCAACAGAGGCAGAAAAAGCATTTGACAAAATTCAACACCAATTTATAATGAAAACTCTGAACAAATTAGGAATAGAAAGAAAAACCCCTGATAAAGGATATCTAAAGAAAATTGCAGCTAACATCATAATTGATGGTGAAAGACTCCACACATTCCATGATTGATAACAAAGCAAGAATCTATACTCTCACATATTGTACTGGATCTCCTAGCTAGTACAATAAGGCAAGAAAAAGCAACAAAAAGCATCTAGATTTAAAAGCAAGAAGCAATTCTCTCTTGGAAAATCTACAAAAAGGTATTGGACTGAATAAGTGATAGTTTAGCGAGGTCAATAAACAATAGCAATTATATTTCTATAAAATAAAAACAATTAGAAATGAAAAAATGCAACAAATCTATTGACAATAGCATGACAATAGAAAATACTTAGTAACAAATATATCAAAATGTATTTAAGAACTTTTCCCTGACAACTATAGTAACACATTATAGAGAAACATTAAAAGAAACCTAAATGAGAGATATTTCATATGCATGAATCTGAAGGCTGAACATTATGACAGTAATTCTTCTCCAAATTTTCTATATATTTAATACAATTTCCATCAAAATCCCAGTAGACTTTTTTTTTGGTACCAATTGACAGACTGATTCTAAAATTTATTTGAAAATAAAAGGAACCTAGAATAAGCAACATGTTTTTGAAAAAGAAGAGAAATCCCTTGGACTCGCTTTTCTTTTTTATTTTTATTTTTATTTTTATTGATTTCTTACAGAGAGGAAGGGAGAGGGATAGAGAGTTAGAAACATCGATGAGAGAGAAACATCGATCAGCTGCCTCCTGCACATCTCCCACTGGGGATGTGTCCGCAACCCAGGTACATGCCCTTGACCGGAATCGAACCTGGGACCTTTCAGTCCGCAGGCCGACGCTCTATCCACTGAGCCAAACCGGTTTCGGCAGGACTCGCATTTCTTGAATTCAAGACTTATTAAAAATTTACAGGCCAAACCCTAACAAAACATATACTTAACCATATGATCCAGAAATCTCATTCAATTCCATAGACATGAAAATATAGCCCAGCCGGTGTGGCTCAGTGACTGAGCATCGACTTATGAACCAAGAGGTCATAGTTCGATTCCCGTTGAGGGCACATGCCTGGGTTGCAGGCTCGATCCCCAGTGTGGGGTGTGCAGGAGACAACCAATCAATGATTATCTCTCATCATTGATGTTTCTGCCTTTCTCTCTCCCTTTCCCTTCCTCTCTGAAATCAATAAAAACATATTTAAAAAAAAGAAATGAAAATATACATCCCTACATATATACTCACAGCAGCCCTATTCATAAAGCCCCAAACTAGAGACAGCTCAGAGACCCCTTAGCACGTGACCAGATAAACCAGCTGTGGTCCTTCCCACCATGGGGCACGATTCACCTATAAAAAGGACTGAACTACTGACACACTCAACACACGGGCACGTCTCAAAAACATTAGGTTGAGCCAAGAAGAGCACACGTATTATGTAATTTCTTTTACCTGATACTCTTGAAAAGACAGATCTCATCTTCGGTGTCAGAAAGCAGGCAGGTTGCTGACAGAGAGCAGGAGTAGAGCGAGGGGGTTCATGGGAGGGGGCACCTGAGAACTTTGCCAGGTGATGTAAATGTTCTGTGTCGTGGTTTTGGGGTAGTTACAGGGGTGTATACATTTTCCAAAGCTCATCAAGATCTACACTCCAACAGGACCGTTTTCTTATGCATACGGCCTACATAAGTGAGAGTGGCACGGTTCCGGGAGGAAATGGGATTTTAGTGAAACAGCACCACTGGCTGAGACACCCTGAGGCTGCAGGCTGCCCATGGCCCACCTCTGTGGCCCACAGTCTAAATGGGCAGGGCAGGCACGGATCTCAGGAGGACAAGAGGGGACTGTCGCTCAGTGTCCGCTAAGTCCCTGGGGAGAGAATGGCGGGGTGTCCCTGAGGAACTGTCATGGGCAGAGTAGAAGCCTCTCTCTGCAGTTATAAATGGCTTTAGATCCTGGAATAGTATGCGGCTTCAGATGCTAATGCATAACTAATACACATTCATCACAGGGTAGCCTGGAGCTCTCTTCTTTTTCTTTTAATATTTAAAATGACAGCAGGGCCTTACCAGAGAGTTGCTTGAGGGCCACAGGTCTCACTTTGTAGGGAGTGCTGCAAGAGAAGACAGGTCACTGAGATGCTGCCAGAGACGGCCGGGCACACCTGGCCCCAGAGATAAGCGCTCAAGTGAATTAGAATTCACTGGATTAGTTGTTGTTGTTTTTTTTGAAAGTAGTTCTTGCCTGGCCCGGGTAGCTCAGTGGTTGAATGTTGACCTATGAACCAGGAGGTCACGGTTCGATTCCGGTCAGGGCACATGCCCCAGTTGCAGGCTTGATCCCCAGCAGGGGGTGTGCAGGAGGCAGCCAATCTACAGTTCTTTCTCATCACTGATGTTTTTATCTCTCTCTCTCCCTTCCTCTTTGAAATCAATAAAAATATATTTTAAAAAACAAAAGAAAGAAAGTACCTGTCTTACCACTGTTTGAATGGCTGGCTCTAGGAATACTGTGACAAGGCTGCTCTACACAGGTGTGGTGGGGTGGGGAGAGAGCCAGAGGCGCTGAAGACAGACGCCCCAGGGACCAGACTTGGGATGGGCTTAGGAAGAGACCCTCCCATCGCCACAGGATCCTGAACGGAGCCCAACTCTCCCTGAAGAGCCCACCTCAGCTGCGAATACGCACAGGGAACCCTCTCATGGGTGAACTGGGGAACGGGGAACCCCAAACTGGGAACTGAAGCAAAAGTGGGCGTGGGACTGGACTTGGAGACCGAATGTACCGAGCAGTCACAGGAACCTTCCAGGCTCTTGAGCCAGACGCCCGGGTTGAGTTTCTGGCCCCTCCAGGTTGGCTCCTTGGTCCTTAATCCTGACTCTGAATATACCATGGCCAAATAGAGTTTGGGTGCTCTCAGACCCAGGCAAGCTGCTGCCGGGACCCATCAGCTCCTGGCTCGGTCAAGGTCGAGCTGCCTCGCCATTCTCTTCCTCAACAACAAACTGCTGCAAACTACTCTTGGATAAACTGCCTTGAGCTTTCACTGCATTTGTCTTTTTTGGAAAACATTACTGCCTGGGTGCCCTCCTTGGTAGGAGGAGCCCGGCCGGGACGCAGGAGGCCTGTCCCCTAGGCTGAGGGGTGCCCGTATGCCACCTCACAGGCACACAGCCCTTCACCCACCAGAACTCGACGCCTGTGACGACTTGGATAACACAGGAAACCGGAGGAGCCCTTGTGCCAGGACACACGGGCTGCGTCCCTCTGGCCCCTCCTCTCTCCCTGTGCCCAGCCACAGGCCCCGTTTTCTTCTCATGCTATTTGAGCGTCTGTTTCTCTCTCCTGATGAGGATCTATCTGGCAGAAACAGAGGGGTAGCGTGGTCAAGAGGCAACAGCTTTGTCAGCCGGACACCCTGGCAGCCAGAATGGCCCCCGGTCGAGGAAGAAGCTCGGGACCAAGGTCCCTCTGAGCGTTATCCGAACAAGGTTGGGACGCGTCTCTTCTACTTGTTGGTCCTCAGGGGTCAGGGCTGCTAGGTGATCAAGCTCCCTTCTGACCAGCCCCCAGAGAGAGCGGGAGCCACGCAGCCACGGTTAATGAGAGCTTCCCCCTTGTGTCATCTGTCACAGGTTATTTAAAATGCGGTCTGGTCATCCTCTGACCTGGGGAAGGGAGGGACCCTCAGTGGGTCCTGGCCGTGGGAGGAGCAGGAATTCAGCACAGAAGAGGGCATGCTTTTGTGATGGGGCCCTCCTGTGCATGGGGCCATGGAGCTGCCCCCGACCCTCATCCCCCATGTGACAGCTATAGTATCTCCAGACATCACCAGAGGCCCTCTGCCCCCGCCCTGTGGAGAAGTGCTGCCAGAGCCAAGTACCAGACCAGAGATAACGCGTGACAGAGTCTGAACAGAGAAACTGTTTCAGCTGAATTCAGACAAAAATGTGGTTTCGCTCCATCAGAGACCAGCTTGCACTGACAAGGCACTGGTCTGAGTGAGAGACCACTTGTCTGGTGGACAAGCCAGGGTGACAGGTCACGTGTCGGCTTTCCTTCTGCAGCGAGCTCTGGTTAGGCTGGAGTCTGTGCTGAGATCTACAAGAATTTTGTTGACGTCTTTAGGGAGCCAATTAGCAACGTTCCTTCCGGGGAGCCCGGAGCCCATAATCAGGGGGCAGACGCTCCTGATGAGTGAAATTCAGGGAGGCTGATGGGTGCGGTGGGCGGGGGAGGCCTGGCTGGGGTCGGGGGAGCCTGCAGGGGAGGTCTCAGGTCACCTGCCATTCGGCAGCCGCGAGCCCTCCAGTTGCTGGGTGTGTGCGGGTCTGCCTGGTGCAGGCTTCTCCCGAAGGCTCAGACCAGCTGGCTCAGGCCAGATTCACACATGTCGCTTGGAGGGGGTGTTCAACGAGGAGCAGGAGACACAGACTGGGGTCCCAAGGGGCACCCCCACACCCAATCGAACTCCTGTTCCCCACAGAGAATGCAGTTTAAATTGCCTCGCCCAGCCCCTAGGACAGTGATGGCGAACTTTTTGAGCTCGGCGTGTCAGCATTTTGAAAAACCCTAACTTAACTCTGGTGCCGTGTCACATATAGAATTTTTTTTGATATTTGCAACCATAGTAAAACAAAGATTTATATTTTTGATATTTATTTTATATATTTAAATGCCATTTAACAAAGAAAAATCAACCAAAAAAATGAGTTCGCGTGTCTCCTCTGACACGCGTGTCATAGGTTCGCCATCACTGCTCTAGGATGAAGTGGGGGCCATCGGGGACTCTGCAGAGCACTGGGCAAAGGGGCTGATCAAAGATGGAGGGGCCCTGCTCAGAGTCCTCGTCCTTCCTTCCTCTTGCCACACACATATTTGTACTCATATTTGAAAATGTGTTCACCGCCAACCCCTCTCCTGTCCCTCCCCTCCGCACCCCTCCCCCGGCTGCCTCCCCTCCCCTGTGCAGAGAGGAGTCCCCGGGACTTCATCAACACCAGGATTCGTCCCGATGGGAAAATGCCAACCGTCCCCCAGGGGCTCTGGTCAGGGAATGTCCTGCTCCCCTTCTGCAGGTGGACAGGGGAGTGGCTCCACTACTCGACACTCAGCCCCCTTGCCTCAGTTTGCCCATCTGTGAAATGATAATAACACCAGTCCCTGCTCACAGGGCTCCTGGCCCCCTTACAATTGTTACCATCTGGGTAAGGAACCAGCTGAACGAAGCCTCCTTCACCGGCCCTCCCACCCCCACCCTCCCATCTTTGCTTTACATTCAGATTTCTACAGCATTAAATCACAAAAACCACCACAGCGATCCTCGGGTGGGTGTGGGGAAGTGTCGGAGACACCGCGAGGACAGGGTCGGGCTAAGCCGCCAGCCGCTTACCTCTCGGAATTTGCGGGCATGGTGGGGTCGATGGAGACCATGGCGTCGTCCGTGGTCAGCAGGGAGATGGTCGTGTTCCTGGAAGACACGCCAAGCCGGCGCCTTCACGTGACGGCCTCACGGGGGCGCACCCTGGGATGGGCCTCGCGCGAGAGGGGAGCCCGGAGTCCCGAGAGCACGAGCGGACTTGTGCTTCGGACCTGGCGCCCCGGTTGTAAATAAAGCGGAATGGCCGAGTGATCCCACCTGCTTGGTAGACGTCACCGTCATTTAAAACGGGACTTGGGGAAAGTCTCACTTATTGAGTTGGAAGATTAAATAAAACGGGTGAAATGGGAATAAATGTTATATCGTTTGCCTTCCTACTTCATTCCTTTGGGAGTCCACGAATGGGCACGGATCTCTCGGACGAAACAGTTTTAAGTGAAAACGTGGAGTCTCCCTCCAACCTCTCCTGGGTCCTCCCGTGAGCGGCTGCCTGGGCCACGGTAGGTGAGCTGCCTGCTCTTCAGTTGTGTATTTTTAAAATCTGTGCAATGGGTGACACTCAAACCTCAGGGTTGGTCTAAAGCAGTGGTTCTCAACCTTGGCTGCACATTAGAATCACCTGGGAATCTTTTTAAAATCCTGATTTCTGGGCCCCATCCTCTGGAAATTCTGTTTCTTTGTTATGGGCTGGGGGCACAACATTAGTAACACAAAACAGAATTTCTGGAGGAGGAGGCCCAGAAATCAGGATTTTAAAAAGATTCCCAGGTGATTCTAATGTGCAGCCAAGGTTGAGAACCACTGGTCTAAAGAATAACATACAGTGGGGCCTTGACTTACAGGTGTTCCGACTAACGAGTTTTTTTGAGATACCAGCTGTCTTTCGGCGGATACAGAATTTCTGGAGGATGAGGCCCAGAAATCAGGATTTTAAAAAGATTCCCAGGTGATTCTAATGTGCAGCCAAGGTTGAGAACCACTGGTCTATAACACATATTTATTTCTTAGCACAGCACTTAACAAAAGATGCCCCAGCCGGTGGCTATTTTTGCTGCTACAAACTGCCTGCTGTTTGCTGTAATTCAGCTCCGAATCCCTTCCTCACCCGCCTGTGAAAGACTCCGTGGTCCTTCTCGCTCGCTCGCTCGCTCACCTTCCTGGACCCGGATCCTGACTTTAAAAGCAACTGCCGTGCCAAAGCTACTCCCAATCACTCTATAATAGAAAAGGTATGAGAGCAAATCCACTTGCTCTAGGACACTGTTGATTTGGGAAAACAGTTCTCATGGAATGCTGACGATTCTATAAGGTAGGCAACTGGTCTTTTCAACGCATTTCTGAAGTCAGTCTCTTCCCAGATATTGATCTGTGATGACCCGCCTGAGCTAGAGAAGGCACCTGCTGGACCGTTTGGGGATGGGAGAGGTGGGGGCGGGCAAAGCCAGACACAGCCACCCTCCTTCATCCTTCCTCCAAAAGCAGATGAGTCAATGGAGGAGAAAGGGAACTCTTGATGCTACTTTCTGCCTGATTCCGCCCAACGCTTTCCTCCGTGCAGACACGGGAGCCTGTGGCACCAGCGGGCCGGCTGTGGCCGAAACCGCCAGGGTTTCATTCACAGATTTGAAAGGGTTGCCCAGGTGGCCCTTCTGCCCCTCTCATCCCTCCCCCAGGGCGACTCCCCTCTTTCCCGGTCAAGGTGAACTGAAAGACACGGAGGCGGGGCAGAGACGCCCTCCGGCGGGCCGGCAGCACACTCACCGAGGCAGGCCGGTGGCGATGCAGAAGAGGTCCATGATGTCGCTGGAGTTGCAGTACTTGCTGAACACCACCTGCGGGACAGAGCGACAGGCCGTGAGGAGCGGCGGCGGGTCCACGCCGGCTTCAGAGTCCTGGAGCTTCCTCTCCGGCCCCAACCCGCAGGCTTATTTTAAAAAGAAAAAACGTAACCTTGGGCTCTGGAATGTTACACATAATACACATCATTCAGTGCATGGAGAGAGGTTGTGACTAATTTCATTCCTTTGCCACTGAAAAGAGTTGTAAAATCCAAAGCTACCTCCCACGTAAACGCCCCCGCAGGTGACAGGCGGCCACATGCCCACCCTCCGTGGAGCCTGACTCAGCGCAGATAACCTTGGTTTAGGGATGTCTCACTGCAGGGAGTCCCCAGTGACCTCATGAGGGCCATTATGTAAAAAAAAATAATACATAAATTTAAAGGTCCTTAGCTTTAAGAAAATTGCCTTTTAGAACTAAGGGCTGATGTATGACTAAATCAGGAAATCACAGTGAGAAGGGATGTGCCGTGAACCATGGTCCCCAGAGCACACCATCTGGGTGCCTGCCCACCCGGACGGGGGAGACCGAGTTGGCATCACGCCTTTTGTCCAAGGGGTCCCAGGTCCCTCCCTGGGCGACTTCAAGTCCACCCAGGGAGCTGTTCTCCAGGCCTGACAGCGCGTAGGGACAGTCCCCGCCGAAGCTCCACATCCATCACAAATGTTTCCCTGACCTGGGCCCTGCTTGCTCACAGCACGAGCTGGGCTGGGAGGGAAGCAAGCCTGAGTGGGTGGTGGCTTGTCAGTGCCTAGGGCACCACTTTCAGCTAAGCTCAGTTTGCATCGTCCTTTATTAGACACAGTTAACTATAAAGAGCAGGTGTTTCCCCCACAAACTTAGCCCTTCTGTGACCAACACCAGGTTGTGTGTGCTGACGGCCTGGCAACACTGTGACAAGGCCACTGTCAGTGACGGTGCCATTGGCCTGCACTGCCCACCCTGCAGCCGCTGTCCTGGCTCAGGCCTGGACCCTGGCACTGACCTGTTTCTAGATCCAATTGGGCCACAGAAGGTCCACCTCCTCCCCTGGGCACGTGAGGTTCTAGGGTTTGTCTGTTCTAGCTGAGTCCTTGCCAAGTTCCTATCCCCAGCCTCCACTCCAGGCCCGAGCGTCCCCACTCCGGACCCTCCCCTCTGGCTTCCTCCTCCGCTTCCCATATTCCCTCTCCCTGTTCCTGGCCATCAGGACTCACTGGCAGCTGCACCTCTTGGCCTCTGGACCCGACACCCCTGCAGAGAAGTCTTGCCTTTGACCGTGTGTCAGGTCCATGTTTTCATGGCAGCGCATCCCCAGCGGCCCTGGCCACTCACCCACTGGCACGGGGATATTTCTACTTCCCCCTCTTGGACCTCTGTCATGTTCATTTCCATCGCTGGGCAGAAGTCCTGGGTGCTGGCGGGTGGGGTGGCACTGCCCGGCTCAGGAGCACCACCTGCTGTAGTTCTCCAAGGCAGGCGTGACGCCTTTATAAAGATCCCCGCCCCTGGGCGCATGTGCGCAGACACCACACGTCTAGTCGGGATCCCGTCCCAGCCCCTCGGAGCTCATGGGGTGGGGACGATCTCGGGGTTCTCTCCAGTCTCGTCTGGCCAGACAGCTTCCGATCACGGCGTCTGAGGACTTGACTAGAGGAGTCATGTCAACGACAGCACCTCCGAAGGCGAGGGGCCGCAGCTCTTACGACAGGGGGTCTCCCTGACTTTGCCAAGAGCACCCGCCCCACAAAGGGGACTCCCCGTGTAGCAGTTGGGGTGAGGTGGGGTCCCGGCTGCCCCGTGGCCCTCGAGGCTCCCTCGCCTCTTATCTCTGTGACTTGAGCAAACTACTCAGCTTCTCTGTGCTCCCATTTCATCTTCTGTAAAACAGGCAACCCAGGTCACGGTCACCGCAGCGGGTGTTCTACTCAGACACCTGCTGAGGCTCCGCGATCAGCTGGAGTCCAGTTTGTGGCTTCACCGCGGGACCGACGGCCTCAGAGCCCCAGAGGACAGGACCCCGGGGACCGGCGTCAGACGGCCTCATACAGACGACGTTCGTACCGTTCCTGTGGGCCGACTGGGAGTTCAGTTCAACAACAGACAACTGATGAGATGGCTCACCCGAGACCCAGCGGAAGCAGCACGACGGACACGGTGCTGTGCTTGTCGGCCGCGCTGTAGATGTTTTCACGTTTCATTTTCCGGATGGACAGGGAAGCTCTTTCTCCTCCGAAGCTATATGTCACTCTCAACAACCTAACAGCTCCTTTTGTGAAGCGAAATGAGACATTTTCACATGCTCTCTGGGTTTTACTGCCTGCCCTCCCCTAATTCAGAAACTTTTATAAGTTTTTGCTTTTCATGGCAAAGCTGTTATCTGCAAAGTCTCCATGAGCACACATTCTCCTTCTTACCAGGCTGCACTTGGGGACATCGGTCTTGCTCGTTTACTCAGGGGTGACAGACTCTTGCGAGGAGCCGAGTGTGACCAGGAGGAGTTGGTGCTTGCGGAGCCCTCCTCGGGGACTGACCTGGTCCCTGGCCCCCAGGCTCCTGCCTTCCAGGTGGGGAGAGAGGCCTCACCTACTGGCGGCACAGGGGCTTTGGGATATTCTGGGGAGCTTGACAAGAAACGAGTTCCCCCAATTTGTAAGAGTTTTGTGCGCTGGCCTTCCTTGCCTCGGGACAGCAAATAATGGAAGCGCTGACAAGCCCAATTATGAAGTCTTTCGGCAAAGCAAACACAGAAGGCCCATCTGGCAGGCTGGCCCGCTTGCCCTGCACAGAACAGCCAAACCCCGTGAGGCCGGCCTTATCCTGCGATCCAGAATCATCTTTCCTTCAGGTCACTTCTGCCAACCGGCGGGGAAGTCTGGAGTAGGAAGAGTCCAGGGGGTGTCTCCAGGGGTAAAGCACACTGTGTCCATTGGCAAATACATTTCAATATTCTGCATATAAACGCGTGGGTCTTTGGCCCTGGCTGGGCAGTGGTTAGAGCCTCGGCCTTCAGACCATACCTCAGTGGCAGGTTCGATCCCTGATCCCGGTTGGGCGCATGTGGGAGGTAAGCAGTCCATGTTTCTCTCTCTCTACCCCTCCTTCCTCCCTCCTACTCTTTCTCTAAAGATCAATGGGAAAAATATCCTCAGGTGAGGGTTAAAAAAATAAAAATAAATGCATGGTTCTTTGATTTCTCTTTTTGAACATCTTACCAGTTCCCTTGTTCAACTAATGCATTAGATAAAAATCTTTGATGTGTATTACATTATGTCTTTGTGAGAGTTGTGCCTTTGCCTTACTTATTTAGTGAGTTAATGAGCCTTCAGCAGGGCCAGGGCAGGTGAGAGGCAGGGTGAAGCAGCAGGTGCGCCCTGTGTCGGATGGGCTGGGAAAGCAGCATCTTACCGTCTCTCCAGGTGTCAGAGAATGTGGCGAGCCGGCACGGCCATGGCATACTCAGCCCCAGGGCGCCATATGTGCCGAGCCAGCTCAGCCAGGTTCGGTGAGCCTGAGAGGGGGCGGTGAAGGATTGAGAAAAGACAGACAAGAGAAAAAAGCTGGGCCTGGGTGGGATGCTGTCCTCTGTGACAGCGCCACAGGCTACTAGCTGTGTCTTTATTTTATAGCCAGATTCCACGAGGCAAAGTAAGGGTGTGGTCAAGAAGTTTACAACATTCTCGTGCGTTTCAATCCTACTTAATTACATGCATCTGAACTCTATCAAGCCCACATCACTCAGGCACGTGGGGCCACGTGTTCGGACCATAGGTTCAAGCTTACAAGTACATACAGCCTTTGTCTATAATTGTGCTGGCAGGGCTTTGCCCTCCAAGCTGGGACTTGCACGTGGCTTTGCCATGAGAAGACTGTGCCCTCTCATTAGTCTGAGGGTTGAACCTGTTCAAAAACTGTAGCCTCGCCCCACAAGAGAAGCTCCGGCCTAGACCAGGTGTTGCTGCTGTGGGAACCAGCCCCATAGCACACGTGCTTGGGTGGCCTGGGAGACACCCCACCCCCCGGGGCAGCCTTGTCAGGAGGGCACAAGGCTTTTTGTTCACACGTTGGATCATTTTGCAAATCCTTTATCCTTTATCCAGAAACAAAGAGCACCAACAAAAAAGGTTTTTTTTTTGATAAAACGAAATTTAAAAATGAGATATGGAGGCAGTAAGATTAACGGAAAAAATAAAGATCTGGTACTGCTGTCCAACTTGAGGCAAATCAGGGCCAACGTTCACGAATGAGCACAGCAGGTCACCCCAAACTCTTCTGTGGTTTGATTGGCAGCCCGTGATATTAAAACAAGACCAGAGAAGTAAACGAGAAGGCAGAGGTCTCTCGTACCCGGATATTAATCTTCCCTCGTATTTACTAGTAGCTGGGCCTTGAATGTCAGGGGAACTTCGGAAGCTCCCACTGCCTGCATCACAGAATGACTGACACTCGCCGAGCGTGAGCCACAGGCAAGCCCTGTGCTCAGGGATCTCCACATGGGGACTGAGGCACACGGAGACACGCGAGGCTCCCACAGGCCCAGCCCATGAGTGGCAGTCAGGATCCCAGGCCACCGTTGTTCAGTGCTCACACCTGAACACCACACCCACGGCACCAGGTCTTTGTCTTTTGACGTCTACACTCAAACCAGCCGCGAGCAGTGGTGCTGTGGCAGGAGCCGTGGGTCCAGTGCTTGTCCCAGTTTGTCCTTCTGTTTCACCCTACCCTGACCCATGGGCAAGGCCATAACCATTTGGAGCCTCAGTTTGCCAATCTGTAAATGGGGCCGATCAAATCAGCTCTGCCTGCCTCTCAGGACCGTGATGAGAAATACGTGAGGGAACGCGTTTGAAAGCAATCACTCGGAACACCTGCGGCTCGAACACAATGTCATACCAGCCCAGGTGCCCATGGATCGCCCGGTCCCTGCTGGCTCCAATGCCCTGATCTGGACTCAGGTCTTCAGGGGTCTCCGAATTGCCAGATGCATCCAGAACAACATCTGGCCACATTTCGT